TCTCTCTCTCTCTCTCTCTCTCGCCCCCGCCTTTCTCCATCCTGCTGTTTCCACCGTGACGCTCATTACGTCGATGCCATCCTCTTCTGATGACTGGAGCCGCCTGTGTCCCTCCTCAGTCTTCGCCCACACGGCCGCTGGGTTCCGTAGTGATATATATGTGATCTGCACAGGAGTGCGTTGCTCAAATGCTCATTTTGTTGTGCTTTTTAAAAAGTATGTTTGTATTTTTTCTTTGTTTTTTGTACTTTCTAATGTTTGATTTTTTTTTCCAAATCGTACATTATGTGTCTTTGAATCTACTTTATGCACTGCTACTTTCGATGATATCATTGAATCATGTTTTAACTATTTTTACTGTGATAGGGGACTTTGGATTAAGTGTAAGAGGCAGATTATTTGACATTGTATTAACAGTTTATATTTTTCTTATTTCATACAAAAATAAATAATGCGACGCTCTTAAGTCTTAGTTTAGAATAATTTATGAATCAAATCAGTATCCCATGGTCTGAGAGGACATTTTCTCGTCTCGTCTCCAAAACTATCAATGTGTCAGCCGGCATTCATTGACATAATATTCACGTCTGAATAGTAATAAAAACAGTCAAAATCTAAAAGCAATTATTCACACTTAGATCGCAGAGTCAAATCAGTCTTTCGCAAACCATATTACACAGGCCATACAATTGTTCTTTAATTAAATCGAAGAAACATGTGACTGAAATACCTCATTAAGCTAAGCCAAATTATTAAAGCGTAGTCGCCGGAGTATCTTTTCGGCATGTATATTTTTTGAGTGAAAACAATTAAATAATGTATCAAGACTCATATTCTACAAATATGTATTGACTCTTACTCGTAATCACTGCTCAGAGGAAAAATGCACTTAAATAGAACCACGCACGGTACAACTCCTTACGTACACGTGGTCTTAGCAAATTTGAAAGATATCACACGATAATGTTTAAGATGAAAGAGAAAACGCTGTCTGCCTGGTGCTGCAATTACATGTACCATGGTCCTTTCCTAAACGAATATCAAGTCCAACACACCGGACTGTTGCTTTCTGTCATATCTGAGCATTAACAAATCCAAATTGTGAGCAAAATGTTTTTAATGTAAGACAATTTTTATGCAGCACTATGCATTAGCTCATTGTATATTTTATAGTTCAGTCAAGTTCTATACAATTACGTGTACGTACAAAATGTAAAAGCAAGAACAGAATATGGCACATTCTATACCGCACATTTCTTTGCAAACATCATATTTTTCAGGAATACAAAAATTTGGGGCTTTAACGGGTCACTTTAAAAACGATATACAGGGTCTTACTAATATACCATGTTTTTTCCGACCGATACTTTTCGAACATATCAGCAATTTTACCACAGATCAAAATCCGATAAAGGTTTAACAAGTTAAGTAACAACAAAACGACCAAGAGCTAGAAAGAAACGCCGACCAAACGATACTTTTTCATCTTTGCTTTTAACAAAACAAAACAAAAAACACAATACAACAAGAACAAATAATTAAATAATTGTCTTTAAAACCTATTGGTAACTCAAGATTCTCTCAATTCGTAGAGATTGCCTACCGGCCATCATTCTGTGAGAGATTAAGCTTCTCCTTTACATTGCAGAGTAAAGGTGAATTGTAAATTTAATTGAAAACGACGGAACGAAGAGAAACCATAACAAAATAGTTACTAAATTCGGCCATAATTTAACATCGTTGATCACTTTTGAGGCTAACAAAGTGCGCCCCACAGTAAAGTATGTGCAGCCCTGTGGGCCGCACTTTGTTGGCCAGCAGAACATTAGCAATTAAAGAAACGGACAAGGCAAGGGGTTAACAGACTATTAGTTCTCACGCCACCTCTGTGGCCGAGGCTCCACATGGAGAGCAGAGCAGATGACTGCCCGCTTTCTTCCCTACCCTTTGTTCCTTACACACACATGCACACACGCACACACACTCACATGCTCACACATGAATCCTCACGTACAGGCAGTCCCTTTCTCACTCTCACTAAAAAAAAAAGTCCCCTTTGTTCGCAAGAGTATCAGAGTGCACAACCCCTTTCGGCACTTAAAGAAACCCCTAACAAACACATCACAAAAAAAGATAGGAATATTTTGCAGTTCACAGCCTAAGGTTTTAGCCAATATTACACTAATGACTGGGATAGAAGGCGAAGGAAATCTTCTTGGGGTTAGAAAACGTAAAATCTCAATTCAAGAGTCTTTTTTTTTCTATTACCCCCTTCTAACAATATTTTCACGACACACTATGGGCCACTACAGAAGCAGCCTTACCTACGCCCACAGCGGCTGGTGGTGGTGGGGGGCGGGCGGCTGTTGGTGTCTTTGGTGTTGTAGCGTCAGGTTGTTGGTCGCCTGGTTGCGCAGGAAGGGGGGCGGCAGCGTCACCGGGGGTGGGGGCGGGATCTTGCCCCCTGGGCCGTGCGCGTTGGGCGGCGGCGGCACCGGCGGCCGCTCAGCAAAGTGCAGCGGCGTGGTGGCCGAGTAGAGGTTGACGGCGGCCCTCGGATGGTGGTGGTGGGGCCGCGTGGACCCGCGGTGGTGGCTGCCGGACCCGCCGCTGCCGCTGCGCTTCACGTCCGGCATGGCGAACCTCAGCTTTTGCCAGAAGAGGCGGTCGCCCCACTCAATGACCGTGTTGGTCTTGAGGTAGAGCCGGAGGTCGGGGTCGAGGTCGCGCTGCGGCAGCTCCCCGAGCAGCACGACGATAAGCCGCCTCCGCCTGTCCTTGAGCACCTCGTGCAGGGCCGACTTGAACTCGAACCGGCACCACTCTGAGTGCAGGAAGTTTTGCGAGAGCACCATAATGGTCCGCCGGGAGGACTCGACGGCCTCCACGATGGTGTCCGCCACGTAGGCGCTCACGTTGAAGTCCCGGTAGTGGAGGCAGAGGCGGTAGGCAGGGTCGCCCTGCTCTAGCCCGGACGACAGCACCTGGCTGACGAACGCCTCGTCCTTGATGCTGTAGCTGACGTACGCGTCGAAGAGCCGGTCTCGGTCCTGCTCCTCGTCGAAGGCCGTCGTCTTGTAGCACATGCGCAGGCCGCACCGGTAGTAGACCCAGACGCGCAGCTCGCGCCGGTAGAAGAAGGCGACGCACAGCATGAAGGAGCAGGCCGCGAACACGCACAGCGTCACCAGCACCAGGGGCAGGTAGTCGTTCATGAGGGGGTCCGCGAGGGACGGGGACCCCCCGGTGAAGGCCGCACACGTGGACGCGTTGAGGCTGGCGAAGCTCGGCCCCACGCGCCGCCCGTTGAACACGCAGCCAATGCGGTGCGGGTCCTGGGTCTTGTTCATGTTGTCCAGGAGCCAGGACTGGAAGTTCTGGATGTACTGGCAGTCGCACGACCACTCGTTGTCGGCCAGGCCGATGCTGACGAGGTAGGGGTTCTGCGAGAGCTGCCACACGGGGAAGGCCACGAGCCGGTTGCCTTCAAGCCGGAGTATCTCGAGCTTGGCAAGGCCCAGGAAGGTGCGGTTGTCGATGTGGCTGATCTTGTTGGCCTGCAGATAGAGTTCGCGAAGGTCTTCCAGCGAAGTGAACTCGTAGCCAAGCAGCTCCTGGATCTGGTTGTTCTCCAGGTGCAGCACCGACAGGCGCCGCAGCCCGCCAAACGTGTTGTTGTGCACGGCAGCGATGTTGGAGTTGTTGGCGTAGAGCACCTTTAGGTTTTTGCGGCCGATGAAGGCGTGGCGAGACAGCTCGCCCAGGTTGTTGCCGTCCAGGTAGACCTCGGTGGCGTCCATGGGGATCCTGCTGGGCATCTCGGTGTAGCCGGCGCCCGAGCACTCGACCACGTTGGCGGACCAGCTCTGGTCGTGGTAGCACGTGCAGTTCGACGGGCAGGTCATCTCGCAGTCGCAGGCGTCGTAGTCGCAGCAGTGGCACAGCGCGTAGCAGTGCGTCTTGTACGTGCACAGGAACTGCGAGGGCTCGGCCTCGACGAGCGGGATGAAGGTGCGGTCGCGGTTGTACAGCAGCTTGCAGTAGATGGAGTCGAGGTCCATGACCCGCGGGTGCTGGCGCAAGTGGTCGAGCTTGTTGATCCGCTGCAGCCACTCCATGGTGCAGTCGCACTGGAAAGGGTTGCCGCCGATGTAGAACTCGGGGAGGGGGCGGTCCCGGTCGACGACGGTCAGCTGCAGGGCGTTGAGGTCCATGCTGACAATCTGGTTGGCGTACAGGTCGACGCGCGTCAGGTTGACCTTGCCGATGAACGTCTGCGACTCGACGCTCTGGATGAGGTTGTCGTTGAGGAAGAGCAGCTCCACGCTGTTTGGCACGGTGGCGGCAGTGACCCGGGTGAGCTTGTTGAAGCTGGCGTCGAGTGTCTGCAGCCGCAGCTCAGAGTCCAGGCCGTTGTGGTTGCCCAGCTCCGTGATGTGGTTCTTGTGCAGGTCCAGCCACTGCAGGCCGCGCGGCACAAGGGCGTAATCGAACCATTCGAGATGGTTGTCCGAAATGTTGAGCCAGAGCAGGCTGTTCACGTCAACAAACAGACCCGTTATGTCCGTGATGGCGTTGGCGTCGAGGCGGATGGCCTGCAGGTTCGCGTTCAAGTCAAATGAGCCCTTCTCTACCTGGCGAATTTTGTTGCGCGCCAAATTCAAAATTTGCAGGGATGGCAGCTCGACGAAGGCCTTCTTGCTGATGTTAGTGAGCTGGTTGCCAATGAGGCGCAGGCCATACAGGTTGTTCATGCCCTTGAAACCGGGCTCCTCCAGGCTGCTGATGGAGTTTTCGCCCAGGTCCACTGTGCGCAGCAGGCGCATGTCCCGGAGCGCGGGCGGCACGCCGGTAAGCGCGTTGCCGTTGAGGTTTAGGTCCTGGAGGCTGCTGCAGTTTCGGAACGCGTCGGGGTGTGTGCCTTCCAGGACGTTGTTGTCAAGGGACAGCAAGCTGAGCACGTACAGGCCGTTGAGCGAGTAGGCGTCCAGGTACTTGATGAGGTTGTATGACAGGATGAGAGTGTGCAGATTGTTCATGGGCGCGAAAGTGTCGGCCGGGATCGTGTGCAGCTGGTTGTGCTCCAGGTTCAGGATCTGCAGTGTGTACAGGTCCTTGAACAATGTAGGCTCGAGCTTAGAGATGCGGTTGTGGGACAGGTTGAGGAGCACGAGCCGGATAAGCCCGGAGAAGGTGCCCGAGTTGATCCACGCACTGGACAGGTGGTTCCTGGATAAGTCCAGGGCGAGCAGTTGCTCGAGCCCTGCAAACAGTCCAGGGGCCAGGACGCTCACCGAGTTGTTTTGCAAGTAGATCTCCTTCACGACGCCTGCGCACTCGCGAAACATGTCCCCGGGAAGCGCCACGATTTTGTTGTTGGACAGATCCAGAATCTCGAGGTTCTTGAGGCCGGCCAGCGCGCGGTCGGTCACCATGGAGATTTCGTTGTTCTGGAGGTGGAGCTCGCGCACGCGGCGCAGCAGGCTGAAGCCGTACGCGGGCACGAGCACAAAGTGGTTGAAGGAGGCGTCCAGCACCTGCACGTCGAGCAGGCACGACACGGAGGACGGGCGCTGCAGCGCCGACGCGATGGTGGCCGCGTCGGCGTCCTGGGCGCCACTCATTAGCGGCAATGGCGGCGGCGGCGAGGAGGGGGTCTTTTCACGGAAGCCGAGCTCACCGACGTCCTGGAGACGGTTGTGGCTCATGTTGAGGGAGACGAGGTTGCTCAGGGGGCAGAAGAGGCCGTCCGGGAGCGACCAGATGTTGTTGTAGCTTAAGTCGAGGCGCTCCAGCTTGGCCACGGCCTCGAACGAGCCGGCGGCCAGCTCCAGGCTCATGTCGGTCCAGTCCGTGTTGCGCGTGTCCACCGTGAGGTTGCGGAGGTCGCCCAGGCCCGTCAGCGTCTCCCTGGGCCACTTGCTGAGCTTGCAGTTCTCCAGGGTCAGCTCGCGCAGGCGGACCAGGTGCGCGAAGCTGCGGTCGTCGAGCGAGCTCTTGGACAGCAGCGTGTCGCTGCACTCGATGCGCAGCGACGTGGTGTGCTCGGCCGGGATCACGCTGAAGTTGGTCTTGTCGAACTCGCTGTTGATGGTGCGGAGCTTGCAGGAGAGCGCCACCTCCTGGTCGACGGGCGCGGCGTCCTGCCGCACCCACCACTGGCAGTCGTTGGGCGCCTCGTAGCGGAGCGAGGGCGGGGCGGGGCCGGCGGGGCCCGCGTGCTGGGGCGGCAGCAGGGCGGCCGCGCTCGCGCCGCCCAGGGAGACCGGCGTCTCGGCCGACACCGCCGTCAGCACCACCGCGGCGGCGGCGAGCAGCAGCATGGCACTCATGTTGTCGGCTGCGGTGATGGTCAATATCGGTCGTCACGAGCACGAGACCGGTTCTCTCATTTCACTTCACTCACTGACACTATTTCCACACACACAGCACAAAGTAACAAGAACGCAAACGAAAACAAAATTTTGCACATTCACAAAGTTGTTGTAGTTTTCGAGGTTTATCCACAGATCACGAAGGAGAGGGCAGCCATGGCATGCAAGTCCCCCCGGTCTTGATGTTCACTGTCACTGATATCCGTGGTGCGAAGTGGCGGGGCAGCGCCGAAGTACGTCCAGAAATCCAATGGAATTGTCACAAAAACTGAGCGACGAGCACAGCACAGCAATGTGTCGTCGTGTTCGATGACGACAACGTGCACACGCCTGCCGGAGAGGGTCGGTCCCGCGGCGGTGCGGCCTCGAGCAAGGCGGGACACCAAATGACGGGTGACCGTTTCGTTCGGAGCGCTCGGCGGCGACGGACGGCTCTCGGCTCTGCGCGGCGCAGCCTCGTCTGCGCAACCCTCTGCCTCTCACAGCGCACACGCAACTAAAGCTGAGGCGGGCCGCGGGCGCGGGCGGCGGGGAGCTGCGAGCCGAGGCTGCCTCACCCCCGCCCCGCGCCTCCCC